GTACGTGTATGTGAGAGGGGGCTTATATATAAATATTTATTGGATCTGTCCAGTTTGGACGGGTTAGGTTTGTAAACATGGCGTGTATATGTATTTACTTGTGTTCTTGTGTACTTTCTTTTCGTCAGAGTTTCGGCGGCGTTTACTCGTTGTTCTCCGTGTACAAATTGCGGAGGGATATACATGAATATATCCTTCCCACTATAGTGTACTCGAAGAACAGCGGGTAGGTGCTGTCAAAATTTTGACGAATTGAAAGTACACTTGAACACACGTAGTTACATATGCACGTCACGTTTACATACCTAATGGGATAGAAGCCTTCCTCTGATAGCTGGTCACACATACGGTCCTCTGAACACACGTTTACATCCCTAAATTAAAATGATATATGTCGGGATATGCTCACTTCCATTAATTTTTAAATTATAGATGCAGACAGTTCTTGACAAATCGTTCATGAGCATACCACGTGATCGAAGACATCTAGACACCCGGTACAAGGATGGGATAGAAGCTTTCTTAGCCTACTCTGACACAAATCCTCTACGGTCGCTAAGCGGGTCGATTTTCTGTCCTTGTAAGAATTGCAGGAACGGTAAAATGCTCGCTAGGAGTGACGTAAGTTTTCATCTGTCAATCAATGGATTTGATAGCTCTTATGTATTTTGGAGTCATCACGGTGAAGGCGTCCCGGTGATGCAATCAGAGGAAGAATTCACTGAAGTCAGTAATCCGACAGTTGACACGAGTGATATGTTAGAAGATATTCTTGCAGCGCCGTCGGTGAGTGATGTCAACACTAATGATATGTTTCAAGATGTAGATCGATTGATGAGACTTGTTGAAGAAAACGAGTCACCGTTATACGAGGGGTGCAAGGAGTTCACAAGGCTTTCTTTTATGCTGAGGCTTATTCATATCCAAACACTCAGTGGGATGGCTGTTACACATTTTGAGATGTTATTAGATTTGCTGAGGAAAGTCATTCCAGGCGGCGATAAAAGCATCCCCGCAACCTATTACGAAGCTCACAAGATTGTTGATACGCTGGGGCATGATTACAAGAAGATAGACGCCTGTCCTAATGACTGCATCTTGTACAATAAGGATAATGAAGCTCTGGAGGAATGTCCGACGTGTCATGTATCACGTTGGAAAGGAGAAGTTGCAAGCACATCCGAAGGCGGTGCATCCAATAAGAAGAACAGAATCCCTGCGAAGGTTCTCCGATATTTTCCAATTATTCATAGGCTGCAGCGGTTTTATATGTCTACCGAGCTGGCTGAGAATATGCGATGGCACTCGACAGACCGCAAAGAGGACGGGAAACTGAGACATCCTGCGGACGGTGAGGCATGGAAGCACATTGACCGTATATACCCCGACTTCGGTAAAGAGTCTCGGAATATTAGGCTAGGGCTTGCTAGCGACAGATTTAATCCGTTTGGATTAATGAGCTCTGCTTGGTCTACGTGGCCAGTGTTGCTGACACTGTACAACATGCCGCCGTCGATGTGCATGAAGCAACCGTACATGATACTGTCACTTTTGATCCCTGGAAGAGATGTGCATGAAGCAACCGTACATGATACTGTCACTTTTGATCCCTGGAAGATATTCTCCTGGAAATAACATCGATGTTTTCCTCCAACCATTAATTTTTGATCCCTGGAAGATATTCTCCTGGAAATAACATCGATGTTTTCCTCCAACCATTAATTGACGACCTAAAGCTTCTCTGGGAAAAATGTGTCAGCACGTATGATGCTTATGGTAAGGAGTCTTTCTGTATGCGGGCAATGGTCATGTGGACAATTAATGACTTCCCGGCATACGCTAACCTGTCTGGATGGTCGACGAAGGGTCAGATTGCTTGTCCGATTTGCATGTCAGACTATGAGGGAAAGTTCCTGAAGTACAGCCGAAGTTTTGTTATTGGCAACACAGAAGATGGTTGCCTACAGGGCACAAGTTCAGAAAGTTAGTAGGAAAGTTCGACGGCAATCCAGAAAGTAGACCGGCACCACCAAGGCTGACCGGAGAAGAAATATTTGAGCTTCTACATCCTTTACCTAGAAAAATATTTGGAAAAAAAAGATTCAACAAAGAAAATCCATTTGGTGTTAGGAGAAAAATATTGAAGCAAAAATGGAAGGGAAAGGGAAAATCAAAAGGAAATAAGCCTCGCAATGTCCAGTCACATGGGCGTGTCTCAAAAGGCACCGAATGGTCAAAATTCAGCATATTTTATCAACTGTCATATTGGAGAAGTTTAAAAATATGTCACAACTTGGATGTCATGCACATCGAGAAGAACATATGCGAGAATCTCTTGAACACTTTGTTGCAGGAAGGGAAAAAATCAAAAGATGACTTAAGGGCACGTCGAGACCTAGCAGAATTGAACATTCGTCCGGAACTGCAAGCTATAGATAAGGGCGACGGAAAGTTTGAACTCCCAGCCTCCCGTGTCACACTGTCGAAGGATGAGGTCCACAATATGTGTTTATTTCTAAAGTCCGTGAAGACACCGGATGGTTATGCTTCAAACATTTCAGCAAATGTGCATATTGAGGACAGAAAGATTTTGGGACTCAAGACACATGATCATCATATTCTATTACATCAACTTCTCCCGGTTGCGTTGCGACATGCTGACAAGGAACTCGCGATGGTGGTAATAGAATTCTGCGGTTTCTTCAAGCAACTATGCTCTAAGGTGATTGATGTTAGGGAGTTTGAAGAATTAGAGGGACGTGTTGCTAATACACTGTGTAAAATGGAAATACTATTTCCACCATCATTCTTCACGGTCATGGTGCATCTGACAATACATTTAGCATACGAAGCCCGCATCGCAGGACCAGTTCAATATCGCTGGATGTACCCCGTGGAGAGGTATTTATTATTATAATATTCATTTAATATTTGTCAAATTACGTTTCTCAGTTCCATTTCGTATCGCAGGACCAGTTCAATATCACTGGATGTACCCCGTGGAGAGGTATTTATTATTATAATATTTATTTAATATTTGTCAAATTACGTTTTTCAGTTCAATTTTGTCACAAATCATAAAACTATATGCTTGTAGGTATTTGGGTTTCATGAAACAACTGATGCATAATCGTGCACATCCTGAAGGGTCGATCGCAGAGAACTACATAAGTAACGAGAGTTTGAATTTTATCTCTCGTTACTTGCAGGGCGTAGAGACAAGGCTAAACTGTCCCCAACGAATAATTGACGGTACATTCTACAATGATCGTAGGGAGGATACTAGATTCCCCAGAATAGAGCTAGATCAAGCCCACACATATATCCTGAGCAATGATACTACATTTAACATATACGCAACATAAGTATTTAACTGTTTGAATCAGATTATATCACCTCACAATAATTATCTCTATTTTACCGTTATAAATGCTTCTTGTCTAGGCTTCACATCCGACATGTCCAGACTAATCTTAAATGCAGAACAAAAAAATAAGAGAGTTATGGACACACACTCTAGACAATTCCCTGTATGGCTGAAGGGTGAAGTAAGATCTTTTTACATTTCTGATTCGTATATCAAATATATGTGCCCGCCAACAGATATGTAAACTATTTGCTTCTTTTCTTAAAGGTTGACAAACGGATTACGAATGAGATTAACCTGTCTGAAAAAGTTTGTTTGTATGCCAGAGGTCCTTCTAATGTGGTTAAGCATTATGGAGGCTACTGTGTCAACGACTTTAGGTTTAACATCGTCGGTCTCGAAGAGAGACGACAAACGCAAAACAACGGTGTGTTCTGCTCCTTCTCGCAACTGTCATACGCTAGTGCAAAAGATCTAAATCCGATACAAGGGGAAATCTATTGCTACGGTCAGGTAGAAGACATCGTGGAGATTTTCTATGGGATTAATAAGGAAGTCAGTCATGTGATGTTTAAGGTTCGTTGGTGTGAACAGAAAAAGGCGAAGGATGACTACGGTTACACAATCGTTAATCTTAACAAGGAAATATATCAGTCTGAAAAATACATGTTAGCTACTCACGCCAAACAGTGCTTTTATGTCAAAGATATAATGAAAAATGACGAATGGGTTATCCTTAAGAATCCACCTAGAGCCTACATTCATGAAGTCGTGTCTGACGAAGATCACGATGAGGAGGTTATCTTGGCCGACGAAATAACCGAGGAGTTTTCATTGACACAAAATAATAATCTGGACGATGAAATTGCACTAGCACGCCCTGATATACCTACGATTATATGTGAGCCAAGGTGTAAAGGAAAAAAACCTGTCCGCAGCGGAGTCGATAAAACTATAAGAACAGTCCTTTCATTGGCACGCACACGGTCGCAGGCTATCCGTACACGATCGCAGAGTAGAGCCTCAACATCATCTGTTTGACTGGTTATCATGTAACACAGTGTGTCATGTATTACATTATTGCCTTTGTATTATCTGTTTAACTGGACATCATGTACACGCGATTCTGTTGCCATGTGCTATTTTATTAATTATTTGCATTATATACTTTTGTTGGATATTCATTATGTTTTCAAAGTATAGATGACAAAAGGATTACGTAAGAAAGCGCTTGAGAGAATTTTTGGTAGACATTCTGGAGGCGACGCACATGCCTCTACGTCAGGTATTTTTATTTATTTGTTATATTTGTACATTTCTATAAACTATTAACATGAGCCTAATATATTTTTAACATTTACTACACAGGAGGAGGAGATGCTACACATGACTCGCAGCCACAGGACACATCACGCAGAGATGCTCCACATGACGTGGAGACACAGGCTGATCCTACACAGCATGCGGAGATACCACCGCCACCGCATGCAGATGTATTGGAGGAGAGGAGATTTGAGCCGTATAGCGTAGCTTTAGAGGCTGCGGCACTACCGCCAGATTCTATTACAGATCAGCGAGTCCACGGTCCGGCTAAAGTGAGGGATGATTGGGATTCTTATCATGCTATGCGCCACATCGCGCAGCAAAGGTACGAACAAGCAAAGCGTAGATGCCTCGAACTGAAAGGTATGAATGAATTTTTATAGTTTATCGGTTATTATTTTAATTTTTTTTCGCAAATATAGATTGATTCATTGTTTCATTCGATTCTTTGTTTCGCAGGTACCGAGCGACCTCCTAGACGCGGCCGCAATGCTACTAAGGAATCGAACCTCATCCCTGATATTAATCGGAGGGCTGTGATCCGATGGGAAAACGGAGTGCCTGTTGGGGCCTTTGCCAATGCTTTCAACAATTTCCTTGCCGCTTTAGCCAGGAGACACGATTTCTTCAACATATTTTTGACGTGGAAATCGCAGCGGATTGATGCGCTGGTGGCTTGTTGGAGATATATATGTGTGAGTCATTTATTTTAATTTTCATCATTATTAGTTATTAGTTTATTATTATGTTTAATACACTGATTTGTATCTACTTTTTCTTTATATGTTGAAGCGATTTTTCTTTCTTGACGATAATATTTGTGCTTGGACGTACTGCTTCGGGAAAATCAATGTATCGTTCAAGAGATGGTGGTTTGAGTTAAAGAAAGAATATTTTGTCCAAATAACAGAAGATTGGGAGCGATACTGGCATCTTGACACGCGTGTAGATGGAGTAGATTTTTTTGCACTTTGCAGTTACTGGGACACGGCTGAAATTCAGGTATTATTGAAGTATATATTTTTAATTTATTGTTTGAATTTTTATATTGTTTCGAATTGACATTGTTTTGCAGGCTCAAGCTGAAATAGCAAGGAGGAATCGCAACGCGCCTCGCAGTTACGAGCATCACGGGGGCTCCAGGACATTCAACCAGCATTATCATCAATTAGAGCTTGAGGTATATAATATATTAGCTTTTACGTTGAGTATAATTTATATGTTATGGGTTAATGATATGTCTGAATAAAATAGGGAAGGGGAGATCTCAGACATTTTGCAGATCGTATTCTGACTTCCTGGAGCCCGAATTACGCCAATGAAGAGAAGAAAGCAAAGAATAAGGATCTGGCTGTAAGTAACTGTCATTTATATATTCAATTTCATATCAATGCATCATTATTAAGTCGACTTGCCCGGGTTGTTGTGATATATCGCAGGAGAAATTACATGCTAAGGTACAGGAGCAATTGACTCAGTCTCATTTCTGTTCTAACACTCCTGCCCGGCTAAGTAGAGAGGATGAGGACTCCATCATCGAGACGGTCATTGGACCTAGTAGGAAGAACAGATATCGGTGGAGAGGATCCGAGCAGAGGCCGCACGAGTCTAGTAGCACCTACGAGTCTGCAGCACCACAAGGAACACCAGGAAGCAGTTCATATCAAGACTCGATGGAGCAGCGATTAAAAGCGATTGAAGATTGGCAGTCGCAGCAAACAACATATCAGCGGGCTCTAGAGGAAGAACGGAGGCGTCGGGAGCAGACCGTATTGGAGTTCACACAATTCATGTCGACTCTACCTCAGGAGGATCAGGAGGCATATAGGAGACATTTTCTGTCGTCACAGGTAATATATATACTTTGCTTTTTTTTTAATTAGATGATATCGTACATACTGATACACACTAATACAAACTGTTACACACAAACCCTAACTCTAACCCTAACACAAACCTCAAAATTTATACTTGCGTGCGTAGTGTTGTTGATGGTGTATGCGTGCGTAGTGTTGGTGGTATTGGTTGGTGGGTTGGTTGGTGGGTTGGTTGTGGTGTTGTGTAGTGGTGGTCGTTATGTGATTGGTTTGTGAGTGGGGATTTTGTTGTGGTGGTGGTTGAGGGGGTGGGGTAGGGCGAGGGGGAGTGTTGTTGGTTGGTGGGTGAGGTTGGAGGATTTGTGGAGGTGTTGTTTTGTTGTGGTGTGGTGATGTGTTGTGCAGTGTAGTGTTGTGTTGTGTTGTGATGGTGTAGTGTTGTTGTGTTGTGGTGTTGTAGTGTTGTGATGTTGTGGTGTTGTGTTGTAGCATATTTATATTTGTACTCTTATTAACGTTTACACACACTTGTTAACATTTGATTTATATTTTTACAGGCCGGGCTTCTTCACAAGGTGCAGCCGGGGGTAGTCATAATGTGGCTGGTGTTGAGGATGAGGATGATGATGATGATGATCAGGAGGATTGATTGTCCTTAATATAACTTTGAAAACAATTTATTGTGTTGTATAAACAATATTTATTATGTACCTGTCGAGAAACTTTTATTTGCTTTTATTGAATTAAATGTGTGATATATGCGTGAGATGTGATCTTCTGCTGATTGAATAGGTTTTTAAAAATTATTATTGATATTGTACAGGGTTTTTTCAATTTTAAAAAAATTTTGCAAATTCCTTTTTTTAAAATTTTTAGCTACGGAAATTCCGTTACTAAATACAATTTTAGCAACGGAATTTCCGTCACTAAATAAGTATTTAGCGACGAAAAACGTGCACGAAATCATATCTGGTTTTTTAAAAAAATTAATAGCGACGGATTTTCCGTCGCTAATAAAGTTTTAGCGACGGAAAATCCGTCGCTAAAACTTTATTAGCGACGGATTTTCCCGTCGCTATTGGTTTTTAATTTTTTATTTTTAAAAATTAGCGACCATTTGGCCGTCGCTAATAAGCCGTCGCTAACATTTAGTGACGTAATTTCCGTCGCTAAAAGTATTTTTAGGCACCCCTGTTATAACGTCGAAGTTTTAGCGACGGAAATATATTTTTTCCGTCGCTAAAACTTGTAGCGACGGAAAATTGACCTATAGCGATGGATTTGTCCGTCGCTAAAGGTTGAAAATCCAGTAGTGAAACCTACAACTCCACGGGACTTCAAGTCCCGTGGAGTTACAGGCTAAATTCCAGGCTTTGGATTTCCTAATCATATTGCTAATGGGGGGCTTAAACTTCACGGAATTTGATGTTTTTTACCAAATTCGACCCAGTTTCAGCCAGTTGGCTGAAACTGGGTTGAATTTGACAAATATTTTTGAAATATGTTATTTTTTACAAATAAGTTTCTAAACGGGTCTATTTTGAAAATTTGTTTGAATTGGGTTGGAATACTGACACCCTCACTAGTTATTTTTTGCAAACAAGTTCCATACAAACTGTGCTTATTTGTAAATTATATAGTTATGTGCCTACTTATTCAATCAGGCAGTTTGGTAAATTAGAATATACATCTTTTTCATTTGGTGCATGATTTTATTTTTTAAGAGCAAGGTATTCAAAATTTAAAATTCTTTTTTATGATTGTGACCTGGAACTGGTGTGTTGAATGTCTGAAGTTTGTCATTTTAAAGGGTTCTACAATTGTTTGAGTGTGTTACATATTTGTAAAGTTGTCGATAATACTAAAGCTATTTGTTTTTAATATATAATTTTCTACATTTGTAATTTCTCATGATGCTTTCAAATTGGCTAACAAAAAATTTGGTCTTAACATAAGTTCTAGGTTATTGACCTTGTGTCAAATATTTACCGTTTGAGTGACTTAGGGCATATCCAACCCATCACACCAAAATGGTGTAAATTTTGCACCAAAATGGTGCAAAAGTCACATCTAACAGTAATTCATCTCCAACCCATTGCACCATTTTTTGCACCAAAAAAATATTCTCAGTATATTCTTTTTTATCTACTTTTATATTATTATTTTTTATTCCCTATATTTTTAACTATTTCAACAATTAAACCCACATATCAAATTTTATTTTTTCCACATATTTTTCAAACAAAATGGTTTATTATTTAAAAAATTAAACTAATAAAACAATAAAATATTATTTTATTAATTAAAATAACTTGATTGCTAAAATGTTATATTTTTATTATTGATAATGCCAAAATATTATATTTAAGAATACAACAGAAAATAAAATACAAGAAAATAATTAAACATTAACAACAATGTAAAAATTACAAATTTAGTATGCACTTAACTATCTGAAATAGTGTATTCCTCCCATAAATGATCTATCAATGCATTACGAAGCGCAATATGGGCATCTTTATCCTTAATTTGTCTGTAACGTGTAATAAATTGAGTAAATCTTGTAGTTTCATCTGCTACAATATCAACTTCTGGTGTTGGTGCTTCCCTCACTTCTTGAATTGGTGCATAAAGGTCACGTTCATCCTTGATTATCATATTGTGCATAATAATGCATGTAGTCATTATGTCATGTAATACATGTTTTTTCTAAAAACGTGTTGATCCTGTCACAATTGCAAATCGTGATTGGAGAACTCCGAACGCAAGTTCTACATCTTTTCTACATGCTTCCTGTTTCATGGCAAAATATTTTTTCTTCCTACCTTGTGGCTATTGGATTGTTTGTACAATAGTAGCACATTTTGGATATATACCATCAGCTAAATAATAACCCATATTATACTTTTTCCTTGAATAACATAGTAAGCGGGAGGAGCAATACCTTGAGATAGATTAGAGAAAAGATTAGATGACTCCAGCACATTGATATCATTATTGGTGCCTGGCATACCGAAATATACGTGTCATATCCAAAGATCATAATCTGCCACAGCTTCAAGGATAATAGTTGATGACCCACCACGTCCTGCGTATTGCCCAGACCATGCCGTTGGACAATTTTTCCATTTATATTGCATACAATCAAGACTTCCTAATATTCCTGGAAAACCACGTTTTTTACTAATATAGAGTAGCCTAGCAATATCGTTAGCGTTAGGTGTTCGTAGATACCGCTCTGTGAATATTTTCACCATAGCACGATAAAATTTTGTCATACTTTCAATTGTTGTTGACTCACCTATTTTAATGTATTCGTCCGTAGCATCAGCTGGTAGACTGTATGCCAACATGCGAAAAACAGCTGTTACTTTCTGTAACGGTGATAATCTCATTCTACCAAGTCCATCACTTCTTTGTTGGAAGTAATAGTCATGATCTTTCACTGCATCAACAATATGAAGGAACAAACTTCTTGACATCCGATATCGACGACGAAACATATCTTCTCCAAAACGTGGATTATCGGCAAAGTAATCTATGACCAAATTCTGATACGTAGTTTCTCGATCGCGGTTGATCACTGCATGACCGGGAATCGAGCCATCATGGATAGGTTGGTAGTTTTGTTGACGTAAATTGTTAACGAGGATCATGTTGTTGTTGATGTACTAACAAATTACTTCTTCGGTTTCATCAATCTCTGCAATGATATTGGACAGAAAATTATCATCATCCGAAGATGAAGATGATGATAAATATGATGGACCTCCAGCATCGAAATTCAATTTTGAAGTAAGAAAAGAATGACTGAAGTATGCAGAAATGGAGAATACTAATTTTAACACAACAACGAGTAATTATGTGGATGTACATAAACTAGTATGCTATTTATAAAACTTTGCTTAGCTGTATACATTGAACAATGTGTAAAGTTGAGCTGATTTTATATAAAACTTTGCTTAGCTGTATACATTGAACAATGTGTAAAGTTGAGCTGATTTTAGGAAATGCTTTCTAGCTGTTATTGTGTAAAGTTGAGCTGATTTTAGGAAATGCTTTCTAGCTGTTATCAATTTGTCACAAAATTCAAATTTACTTAGCTGTATACGTTGGACAATGTGTCCAGCTGACCTGATTGGGGAAAATGATTCCCACTTGTACAAAGCTTTCACATAATTCAAGGAAAGCTGAGTGTGTATATGTTGGACAATGTGTAAAGCTGACCTGATTTCAAAAAATAATTCCCACTCGTATAAATCTTTCACACAATTCAAGGAAAGCTGAGTTGTGTATACATTGGACAATGTGTAAAGCTAATCTGATTTCAAAAAATGATTCCCACTCTACAAAGCTTTCACACAATTCAAGGAAAGCTGAGCTGTGTATACGTTGGACAATGTGTAAAGCTAACCTGATTTCAAAAAATAATTCCCACTCGTACAAAGCTTTCACACAATTCAAGGGAAGCTGAGCTATGTATACGTTGGACAATGTGTAAAGCTGACCTGATTTCAAAAATTGATTCCCACCGACAACGTTGGACAATGTGTAAAGCTGATCAGTTTGTACAAAACGATTCAATTTCAAATGTTGACCACCGACAAATTCAAATTCAAATTCAAAAAAAAAAAAAAAACAAATTTGGATTGGCTATAAATAACATTCACGAATTCTACTTCAAACCACCCAATTCGAAGTATTTCTTCAAAGTATTTCCGATCTCCAAACCAACCGCTTTTTACAAAAAAATGTCTGTTCGATCAACTGGATACACGGTTACTAAAGATGTGCTCCTTTGTCAAGTATTCTTGGATATTTCTCAAGACCCTATTATCGGTAGAAACCAGTCTCGAGATGCATTTTGGTCTCGTGTGGAGGACAAATACAATGAACTTCGAGATCAGCATTTTGAGATGCATACGAGCCGATCAATTCATTCTCGAATGGAAATCATAAGTAATGAAGTAAGGAAATTGAATGCGTGCTTGAGACAAGTAGAGAATCTGAATCCAAGTGGTGCTTCAGATGAAGATATTGTAAGTATTCTATTAATTATCTTACGAATTTTATTATTATTGTTGAAATACATAACTTGATGTTCATTATAATTTGCAGTTAGTTCGAGCAAAGATGTTATTTATGCAAGAACCAAAGTACAAAAAAAGTTTCAAATTTGATCATGTCTGGAATATGGTTAAAAATTTTGAAAAATTTAAAGATAATGTCCCCACAGCAAGACAAGTTGGTCGAAGACAATCCCAAAGTGTGAACTTCGACTCATCACAATCAGATAATCCCACTCTAGAATCTCCTATATCAACATCTCCCGGACTGTCATCATTTACTCCATCTGAACGACCTATTGGGGTAAGAAAAGCCAAATTGAAAATGAAAAATAATGATCATGAGTCAAGTGTAGTGGACTCCATCGAGACCTCCAACAACCGACTTAATAGACAGGTTAGACAAGGCGAGCTTAGACAGGCAAGTAGCATTTGATATCGAACAAGAAAAGATAGCTATGAAAAAAGATAGAGATGAATAGAAAATTATAATGAAAGATTTGAATTCCATTGCTGATCCAAACGTGCGTGAGTACATTCGAGCTCAACAGATTAAAATAATATAAAAAAGAAATCAACAAGAACAAGGGTCTGCTTCTAATTTTGGTAATTATTTCAATGATATCTGACACTCTGGCCCCGATCTACCAGATTATTGAGAGTTGCTTGTCCATCTCAGGAAATGTTCCATGTTTAGTTTGTATTTTATGTTTTATTTTAATAAAGTTTTATATTATGTGTGTCAGTTTTTATATGTTATGTATTTCAGATATGTAATTTATATTTGAATTATGTATTAGGATTGCTCTTTATATTTCATGGGACTTTACTTAATGTCTAGATTTTAATATTATAATTAATAATAATGTCTTTTAAATTTTAGCATTATTTTTATTTTTAAAAAACAATTTATTTTTTCCAAATTATACAATTGGGGTTGTTTTATACATTTAATAAAACAATTAGGGTCAAATTGTAAATACATAAAAGTATGAGATAAAAATAAAAAAATTAAAAAACAAAAAAACAAAAAAAAGGGTAATGCGGTGATGAACAGTGCGGTGCCAAATATGGCGTCGCGCTGTTCATCACCGCTAAAATGGCGCCCAAAATGGCGCTGGGTTGGAGATCACACGTAGCGGCAAAACCCTTTTTTGCCTCAAAATGCCGCTCGGTTGGAGATGGTCTTAGTAATTCATGCAAAAAATTGATCTTAATATAATTTTAATTTTTGCAATGAATATAGATAGATGGTGTAGATGAAGATGTACTAAAAAGGATGTGCGCTAATACAACTATTGTCTTTTGAGAATGCATGCTAGACGCGAGTCCATTCTATTCCAGCAAGAGAAGGCAAAGTGAACAAGATATGAAGGGATGCCCACTTCAAATGTGAATTGGAAGGCTATAGTGATAGTTGTAGATCTTATATTAGGATGAGACTAAGAGTATTTTTTAGACTTGCAGCAATAAAAAGAGAAAATGGTTTTCTAAATAACACAGGAAACATGAAAGTAGACGAATAACTCAATATGTTACTAAGCATAGTGGGTCATAAAAATAAAATAGAGTAACAATAACTGATTTTATAAAATCTTAAGAAATAGTTGGTAGATACTTCAATAAAGTTCTACAAGCCATGAATAAGGTACATGATCGCTACATGAAGCAAACATCTAATGAAGTACCACTAAAAATTGCCAACAATCCAAATTATTTTTCTTACTTCAATGTAAAAGAAATAAACTATTTATATTAATAATCAAATTAAATAATAAAATGGATTTTTGGTTATTTTATATTGTCCTATATTTCATAGGATTGCATTAATATGATAGATGGAACACACATTGACACAATGTTACTCTTTAACCTAGTTGCACAGTTTAGGGGGTGTAAAGATGTGATACAAAATATTTTAGTTGCCCCCAATAAACTAGGCATGTATGTATCAGCTGGGTGGGAGATATCAACAAATGACTGTAGAATCTTACAAAATGCATTATCCAGGTTACAGCCTTATGGATTGTGAGTGTGGGATGATATTATTCTACCTATTTGCATGTTGACTACTAAATTAAAATATTATGACAAATGTGTTCACAAATTTCCATTCTATTAATATAAGAAATATTACCTATGTGATGTTGGTTACACTATAATGCCTGGCTTTGTCTCCCTGTATCGTGGTGTACGATATTATTTGAATGAACAAATCACTAGGACACCAAACAAAAGGAAAGACTATTTAATTTAAGGCACTCCTCTCTATAATTAAAAATTGAATCCACGTTTGGTATATTGAAGAATCGATTTAAAATTCTATCGACAAAGCCTAATGATCCCTTTCCTATACAAATGGACATCGTCTTCGAGTATACCTTGTTGAATGATTTTATTGCCTTAGAAGATCCAGAAGATGACCTTTTGAATGAGAATGTTGACATTGAGGAACATAACGGAGAAGTGACAAATGAAAATGTGATTATCATGGCTTCTGCATTTTCAGACCCTTATTTCAAACAAGTTTCACGCAAATAAGTAATTAATATTATGTTTTTGTCCTATTTTATAGGAAAAATGAAGAAAATAAATAAGAACTTAAATGAATGCATCTTAAGCCTATTTGAATTTCAGTGAAGCCCAACAAAATCCCAAGTAAAGCTCAAGAAAAGTCGGAGCAAAAATGACCATGATAGCTCATCGTTGGAGATATTATAATATGTTTTAGGTAAACATGCACATGATAATTTTATTTGGTATAGCCGGGAATTATATAAAATTGTTCGTCTTTCAATTATAAATCTAATAAATCAAGTTTGAGTCAAATCAGATAGTAGAACTCAAGATATTGTAATTTTAGTGAATCAATAGTAGAACCATAAATATCTTAAATTTATGTGCAGAATTTTCTAGCCTTGCATTCTACTGCCAAAAATTAATTCTGGGGGGACAGGATTGATCCAAGGGATCATTTATGTAATTTGTAAATAGGGGTAGAGAGTGAAGGTGAGAAATGTGAATTTTTTTTATAAATCCACTTTTGGGGATAGGATATTTGTATTTTAGTCATCTTTAAATATTATAAAATTTTAGTTTTACAATAAAAATAAAAATTATTGTTCCTCTTCAAATTTCTTCTTCGTCTCTTATGTTGATGAAGACTTCAATATTTTTCTTTGGTCTACAAAAGAGGCCAGCCCTTGTAATGTGAGATTTTAGTTTTTAAAATTTTCAATTTAATTAGAATTGAATATTTAGAAAATAGGATAGATTTAATTCTTTTAATTTTTGTTTCATTTTGATTATTTAATTTTCATACTTAGTTAGTTTTTCTTGCTTAATTTAGGGATAGATTTATTTTTATGTTTAGATAGTTAGTTTTCTTGCTTTTATTTGCCCTTCATAAGGAGTTTCTTATCTCGTCTTTTTATTCATACTATATTTATTTGCTAATAATTTAGGATTTAATAAAACATGTGGCTAATTTTTTTAGAATAATTAGGATAAGGGGAAAGAAGTATAATCTATTTATTATAATTATATTTCCCCTCCTTATGCCTTAATTTTATTTATGTATAGATTAATCA